TTATACTTTTATATAAAAATAGTGATCTTTAAACAAACGTAAGATAAATAGTCAAAACTGTTTAAAGTGTTGAGGTGCTATTGTTTTGTCGCGGGCTGTACATATGTAGTACCCAAATCAATTATTGAAAAATAATACATTAAATCATTATCAAAGCACAAAGTGCTTAAATTCGGGAAATTACGATTTCCCTTCCGCCGGTGACGACGCTTTGCTACTTGGAATTTAACATTTCTTAATTCATTTTTTTATCATGCGTATGCCTCACTTGTAAGTTATGTATTATACATATATGCATAATTATAGCTTAGTAAATTTTTCAAATAGCCAATTTCTTAAGTAATTAATAAAGGTATTACATTTAGAAATATCCACAAATCACGAAGTCGATTCGTGAAGCAAACTGTGATTGTTAAATATAAGAAAACGTTTTTATTTTTAATTTTTAGCTCTGTGATAATAAGTACTACTGGCATTTCAACACACATATCTTTGACCGTTTGAATCTGTTTAGATTTCAAGCAAATGTGTTTCAACTTTGCTTTTCGCTGATATAAAAAGCTTTTTCACTAGATACTACGTACGTACATTTCTAGTAGTCATGTCAGTTTTGGGTTTTGTGGTAGGTCATATGCCGCCTGGTTTTTTTTTTTGTTTTGCTTTGGATTTTTAGATAATTTTCTGTTTTATCTATAATGCAGTTGCAGTGGCTACAACAACCCCACCCAGATCGGTTGGTCCCTCAATCGTTGTAGTCAAGCTTTACTAATGGGAGCAACAAGAAGCGTGCAGCCTCGATGGGGTATGACCATAAGGACAGATGCGTTAGTAGAGTGGAGCTCCGTGGGCATGCGAAGAAATGTTTGGAGCCATGGGGTGTCTCTCCGCATGCTGGGCGTTCGTTTGCCACATCTGCATTTACTCTGCTCAGGTACGAGTTTAACCTGCTGCAGTAGCCAGATCGAAGTAGGGTTAATGTTGTCCGAGTCTCACTATTCCCATTTTCCAGATGTCTGGAATGATGACAGTGGCCATGGACAGTTTGAGGACTTTGGTTAAATAATCGCTCCCGCAGGACCCATATTTTTCAGCATCAGCATACAAATGTCGTCGGGTCCAATAGCGTTGGAGGCTTTCGCCTTCACGATGGCTACCCTCACTTCGCCGCTGGTGAAAGCAAGAAGTGTACTGGGTGTTGGCAGCAGTGTTGCCAGTTTAGCCGCTTTCCGGCTAGATTTAGCCGGTTGCGATAGCAAACAGCCGGAGAAAATTCGGCAGCCGTTTTGTCAAAAATAGTTAACCGTTTTTAGCCGATTTTGCTGCTTGCCTTCTTTTCTTAAAATTCAACTATTTAAATTTCCATTTTTACATATTTATTTGGCGACTCAAATCTATTAGAAATGCTAGCCTTATCTCGGAGAAAATTATCATGTCGAACTGTGTTATATAAAATTGAAAGACAGTTTTTTTTAATCCGAAAAGTCTTTAAATACTGGGCCGATTTCAATGATTTTTATTTTAAGCAAAAATATACTATGACCAAAACATAAATTCGGCGGCGACATTTTAGCAAGTGTTGGTAATTTTTCTTTGAGTCATTTAATGCTTAATGTTTTTTTATGAAAGTATAACAAACACCATTTAAACCCAAACTTCATACTTTTTGCAAAAATTATGAAAATTATGAAAATTATGCAAATTTTAACCAAAATTTTGAACTTTTTAATCAATTCAATTCTTTAAAAATTTTAAATTTTAGTGTAATATAGTGCATATTTGAAGTACTTAAAACTTACCGTTGATTTTTGGCAATTTTTTGGTCCATTTTTTCCATATAAAAAAACTCGTCGAACATATTGTGTATGGAAAAAGTGCGTACTACCGTCATAAATCAACGGTGAGTCCTAGCTAGTTCAAATTTGCACCGTACAAATTTTGCAGAATTTTCATAATTTTTGCACAAAGTCTGAAATATGAATTTATATGGCGTTTTCTAAGTAATCAGCTATATTTCCATAAAAAAATAATTAACATCAAATAAACTAAAGAAAAATAGATAATATTTGTAAAATTTCGCGTCCCAGTTTTTATTTTGTTCACTGTATTTTTTCCAAAGAACGCAGCAGGGATTTTTTCATCAAATTTTTGTTACGAATGTCTTAAATTTAAGTGCGCATTTTTATTCGGAATACTTAGAAAATAAAGAATTCGAATAAGAGAGCACGAATTTCGATGTGAAGTAAAACTCTCTGGGAAGACAAATCCTGAGAATAATTAGATCACGGTGTCAACATACTTTAGTATTGCTCTCTGACAGTCATGTGCAGAGAGTGAGCAAGTCTTTAAAAACTGGAACGTTTCTAATATATGGACATCAAAATAAAATTAAATAGTTTTCTTATTCTTATTATTTCTTATTTACCCATCGATTTTCTTCAGTAGTAACTTGATTTTTGTTTGTAACAGAACAAGCTTTAGCACAGATGCACAAATTTGGCACAGAACCTGTTATTTTTTAAACTTTTCTTCTGTTAAAGTAAGATTTTTTTTCATTTTTTCATTAAAAAAAAACTGGAATGATTAATTAATTTGTCAGAAACTATCAGTCCTATCGGAAAGTGATGTATATATGGTTTATGGAGAATTTTGCTAGCTTTGAAGTATCTCTTTTTAAGACTGTTAAATTGGTTCGTAAGATATGCGTGATTAAGTGGAACCACTTTTTGTTTTGAGCTGAATAACGGTAAATTGAAAATATCTTGAAAACGTATCCATAGAAAAAAAATTAACTCGATTTTCGGAATCACCGGGCAATTCTACATAGAAATTGAATAGTGGCGTCTGGAGAAAAAAAAACCAAACTAAAATTTGTTAACCAGTGTAATTTGTAACGAATTTGCCAGCCTGCGTTTTTGTGTTTTATTTAACGAGTGGAGTAAAGCTGAGCTACATATAAGTCAACCAAAAACAATTCTATGAATTGTTTAGTCTTTGTGTTTGTGATTTATTTAAATAAAACACTTTAATTTTAGTAGAAATATTTTAGCCGTTTTTTTTGCCAATTTAGCCGGTCTGCTCAAACAGTTCTGGCAACACGCGACGCTTGGCTTTGTCCGCCGGAGGATGCAGTATGAACTGTCGGTTACAATAGCTCGTTCATCGCTCTGGATCCGATGAGGCGTGGTCGCCGAAAGAGATTTCGACTCTGTCGTCACGCTTTGTCGGATTGGACAGTAACTTCACGGTTGACCAAAGCTTGCTCGCACCAGAGGCGAAGTTACAGGTCTTCAGATGCTCTTTCCACTTCTGCCGCTTATGTACGTTCACTAGCTGCCGAATATCCGTGTAAGATACCTGATACGGGGATTTCCGGGATCGGCCTGACGAAGGTTATCACGCTCATGGGCTAGGACAGCCGCTTCAGCGGGAGAGTTCGGAAGCGGGTCCGAAATGCATCCTGTTGGGATGAAGCGGGCTGCAGCAGCAGTGACAACCCTGCAGAATTTACGCTCACCTACGTGAACGTCGGTTGGTGTGGGTAGGGCGGTGAAGGTATTTTTATTAACTTCCGCGAAGCCTTTCCAATCAGCTTTAGAAAAGTTGACATAGGTTCGGTGATCCGCGGAAGCAAAGTGGCCAGGTATATTAATCGAGATGATTATAAGTCAGCATAGGTCGATTTGTTATGTTGTTTGTCAAACCAGCGCATACGATTGTTATGTCAGGCGAGGTACTGCAGCTGCCCATGATCCTGGTGGTGCGTCGTCGTTTATTGTGCAGAATTTCGAATCATCTATCTGCTCAGGCAAGTGTGTTCCCCTACGATCATTTGACAGTTTTGAGTGTTTGTGTTGAGTTCCTCAGGCGGACTCTAGTGTGCCGTGGAGGCAGCTCGGAGCAAGGGGCTACGTATGAGATGGTCCATTGCCTATGAGTTGAATGGCCTGAACAAACTCGGAGTTGACTCGACTCGTTGCAGGAGTTGCACCTGACGGAGGTGGAGTTACGGTGTAAGGTTTGACTCGATGCCAGCCCTGAGTAGAAGTACGCGAAGCAGACATAGCGCTATTGACGTACTACTTTTTAGGGATTTCGCCGACCTAAACGGGGTTAGATCGCCGCTTAGCCTTTGGTCGGGTAAAACCCGAGTCATTCCGTTACGTAGAACCGGCTTTCGTGGGAATGAAACGTGTTAGATGACTGCATATGGAGCTACGGGGCGTGTACGTTACATTCGCAACTACGGGTATATGAGCATGAGTGATTGTTTTTATTTTTTTAGTATATCTTTTTTAAGTTTTTATTTAAATATGATTTCGCGATCGAATCTTGTTGTTTATACAAAACTGAAGATAATGCATTTTCCAAGATAGATGAAACACGTTTTTGTCGACAAATGTGCAACTTGTGAGATTTGCTCTTATAGAAAAAAAAACTTTTGAATTTGATTTTGCAACGAGCTAACCAACCACCGCACTCAAGGTTAAATGCCCTAACTCACTTTGAACATTTTGTGCTTGAAATTCTAAAACAAAACTAAACTGAATTTGCTAAACTGAAACCATTTTTCCTTTTCTTATCTTTCCTACAGGTTTGGATCAATCAAGGTGATATCATTCTGGTCGGTTTACGAGACTATCAGGATTCGAAAGCTGATGTCATCTTGAAGTACACACCCGATGAGGCGAGAAATTTGAAAACATATGGCGAGTTCCCCGAATCGGTGCGCATCAATGACACAGTCACCTTCGTCGAGGATGGTTTCGATGAGGATATCGAGTTCGGTGATGAGATCAGTTCTGAGGACGATGCTGATTCAGTAGACAATATATGATTAACAAGAAATAAGCGCGAGTCTTCGACCCAACAACAACAAGAAGAAGAACTAAGTAAAATGAAAATTTGAAAAGAGTAAATAAACAAAAAATGCAAGTACATAATGATATATTGAAAAGCAAAGCTAGTTGAACAGAAAAGAAAAATTGTGAAATATTAACAAAAAAAAATAATAAAAAAATAAAAACCAAAACAAGAAAGTTAAAAGAATTAAAATAATTGCAAAAACAAACACGAAAAATGTGAGCGTCAGCGACTTTAGAGGCAAACAACAGCACTGCAAATAAACCACATATTAACGCTGTAAGAAAAAATTAAGGATGCCTGGGGTTTTCATTTCGAAATATTGTGAAATTGATTCTTTTTATTTATCAAGCGGTGTAATGAGAAACAAGAAAAGATATAAAATGCCTATCGCAAAAATTGAGCGAATTCTATGCAAACTGGCAGAAATTTAGTCTTCAAAGGCCAAGGTGAACAAGCGTGTAGCGATAACAGCAATGCAACAACAACAACATACGTGCATATAGTCGAAAGATATGTGCATATGTACATATAAAAAAAACTCACTTTCTCTGAAATATTATTAAAAATATACATACATACATATATTTAATTAGTTCTTTAAATAGAAGTAATTAATTACCAAACAGATCGAAAACAATAAATTAGAATGTTAATAAAAATAAGCCGAAACGAAAGAAAAATATCCATTAATATTTATCATTTAAAGTAAATTAAGGAACAAAAAACGACTGGAACTGTAGTAAAACATTTTAAAATAATTTAGATACAAAAAAAAATGTTAACAGTCGTTGATATTCTTGGTAATCTTTTTTCAGTTAAATAATTCCATTTCATCCAACATTGCGTCCTGTTCGTTTCATTTAAATGCTCAGCAAAAGACATAAACGTTCATTTAGAATTTTTTAATTTAGCTGAATTATTAAAAGCAGCACAGCGATCAAACCCTTCCGACGTCAAATCTTTCCAACAGCCTTTAATGTGATCTAAAATTACATTCTATGTTTAATTTCGTAAATTTAAAGTGTTTGTTTTTTTTT